ACTAGCCACCAGAAATAAATGGCTGTCTAAATTTAAAAATTTCTCCAAAAGAAACAAAAACAAATTGTCTCTCTTTCGATACTAGGACATCTATACTTCAAATATAGTTAAAACAATGTCTATAAAAAAGTTAAACTATTCTAGCATGGAAATATAGTAATCAATATGTTGGTACCTAACTCAAAACTTATTAGTACCAAAGAAAAATGAGAAACAAATATCTTAAACATAACATTAAAACAATATAATTAATTTGATTGTTAGAGGACAACGTTTGCTTGTAAAGTATGTTAACAAATTAATATATATTTTTTACAATAATATTCTACTTATATTATTTAGTTGCCTTAGCTGGGGACGGTAGTTCCCAACGCTTGGAAGTACTTAATTAAGTTTTAAACTTGATCTTATCAAATATATATATTATAATCTTGTCAGTGACAATGTTTTATTCTTGGACGTTAACGCAAACAATTATTTGATCCCACATGCATCCATGCATTATAGGTTTCCCGTAATGTTTCTTCTTTCTTGCATGTTCTTCCAATATAATTCACCAATTATTCGACCGCAAGGTTTTAACCTTTTTTAACTAGCGCCAGATGGTAGCATAATAATGTGGATGAACAAATTACTAATCATTGTTCGAAATTCATGAGTTTTCATTATAAAAAATCACGGTCAAATTCTAAACTGATATGTTTTACATTCCTAGTTTACTGTCGATTCGAAGACCATTAACAAAACTACAAAAGTCTTATCATCTGCTTATTTGGTAATTAGTAAGCCACTAAATCAAAATTTATACATGAATAGAAATAGATTATCAAATTCACGTAGATAAAACCTAGCTCTACCAAAATTTCGTGTTTACGATGGAATCCAAAAATTGTCAACTTGCTATAACACATCCAAGATGCAACCTTTCAACTAAGTCTCATGATAGTTCTTTGTTTCTGTTTGTTAATATGACAACTACTAATAGAAAAAACCACAAACCAGCAAGA